ACAAACTGTAGCCTAACTTCGTGTAGTTTATATATATAATCCTAATCATTTTACAGTTGTTTTACAGACAAACTGTAGCCTAACTTCGTGCAGTTTATATATAATCCTGATCATTTTACAGTTGTTTTACAGACAAACTGTAGCCTAACTTCGTGTAGTTTATATATATAATCCTAATCATTTTACAGTTGTTTTACAGACAAACTGTAGCCTAACTTCGTGTAGTTTATATATAATCCTGATCATTTTACAGTTGTTTTACAGACAAACTGTAGCCTAACTTCGTGTAGTTTATATATAAATCTGTTTTACAGACAAACTGTAGCCTAACTTCGTGTAGTTTATATATAATCCTGGTCATTTTACAGTTGTTTTACAGACAAACTGTAGCCTAACTTCGTGTAGTTTGTATATAATTCTGGTCATTTTACAGTTGTTTTACAGACAAACTGTAGCCTAACTTCGTGTAGTAAATATATATAATCCTGATCATTTTACAGTTGTTTTACAGACAAACTGTAGCCTAACTTCGTGTAGTTTATATATAATCCTGGTCATTTTACAGTTGTTTTACAGACTAACTGTAGCCTAACTTTGTGTAGCTTATATATAATTCTGGTAATTTTACAGTTGTTTTACAGACAAACTGTAGCATAACTTCGTGTAGTTTATATATAATCCTGGTCATTTTACAGTTGTTTTACAGACAAACTGTAGCCTAACTTCGTGTAGTTTGTATATAATTCTAATCATTTTACAGTTGTTTTACAGACAAACTGTAGCCTAACTTCGTGTAGTTTATATATAATTAAATTTATAAAAATAGTAACATCTGTAGATCACAGTTTGTCTGTAAAACAACTGTAAAATTACCAGAATTATATATAAACTACATGAAGTTAGGCTACAGTTTGTCTGTAAAACAACTGTAAAATGATTAGAATTTTACGGTATTTCGATCTTCTTAAAGTTGATTTACACATGTCACTAGTCACCTCAACTGTGATTTACACATGCCATTAGTCACCTCAACTGTGATTTACACATGTCACTAGTCATCTCAATTGTGATTTACACATTTCACTAGTCACCTCAACTGTGATTTACACATGTCACTAGTCATCTCAACTGTGATTTACACATGTAACTAGTCACCTCAACTGTGATTTACACATGTCATTAGTCACCTCAACTGTGATTTACTCATGTCACTAGTCACCTCAACTGTGATTTACACATGTCACTAGTCACCTCAACTGTGATTTACACATGTCACTAGTCACCTCAACTATGATTTACACATGCCACTAGTCACTAGATGTTTGTTGATATCTCCATTCGTTTTAAAGTTTGTTTGTTGACTTCTCCATTCGTTCTAAAGTTTGTTTGTTGACATCTCCATTCGTTTTAAAGTTTGTTTGTTGACATCTCCATTCGTTTTAAAGTTTGTTTGTTGACATCTCTATTCGTTTTAAAGTTTGTTTGTTGACATCTCCATTCGTTCTAAAGTTTGTTTGTTGACATCTCCATTCGTTTTAAAGTTTGTTTGTTGACTTCTCCATTCGTTCTAAAGTTTGTTTGTTGACATCGCTATTCGTTTTAAAGTTTGTTTGTTGACTTCTCCATTCGTTCTAAAGTTTGTTTGTTGACTTCTCCATTCGTTCTAAAGTTTGTTTGTTGACATCGCTATTCGTTTTAAAGTTTGTTTGTTGACTTCTCCATTCGTTCTAAAGTTTGTTTGTTGACTTCTCCATTCGTTTTAAAGTTTTTTTGTTGACATCTCCATTCGTTTTAAAGTTTGTTTGTTGACATCTCCATTCGTTCTAAAATTTGTTTGTTGACTTCTCCATTCGTTCTAAAGTTTGTTTGTTGACTTCTCCATTCGTTTTAAAGTTTTTTTGTTGACATCTCCATTCGTTCTAAGTTTGTTTGTTGACATCTCTATTCGTTCTAAAGTTTGTTTGTTGACATCTACATTCATTTTAAAACAATTCTTAGAGGAATATGTTCTCTTGAAAGAGAGAGTTTAAAGAAATCAAGAAGTTTATAGATGTTTTAATAAATATGTGTTTCTGTTAATCAAATCTTCATAAATTCTACCAATTATTACTTAATTCTCAGCTTCTTCGTCTAGTTAGTTTTACATATAGCGATATACGTGCATTAATTCTCAGCTTCTTCGTCTAGTTAGTTTTACACATACGTGCAAGATGATTCTACAGATATTCCTGGCCCATTATTTATCACTCTATTTGAATTGTACATACAGGGGTGAACGCGGAAAAATGCTAACTCGTCCACTACCATAAATTAGTGACTCGGTGGAGTTATAACCACGTGCTGGTCTTCTCCATAACGTCAGGTAAACAATCGATTTGGAAAAGCAGTTAGACGCACCGAGTAAACGTGCCTCGCGAACATAAATGTAGTGTTCATTGGGAGGGTTGGATATCTAGACGTACTTTGAAATAAGAAGAATGAGCAGGTGACATAAGCGACAAGATAACAGAGGTAAAAGTGACATGGCAAGAGATTGAAAACTAAACAAAATGTGTGTTATATAAGGGACAAGGCAGCAAAGATATAAAAGTGACATTGTTAGGAATTAACTAACTCAACAATGTGCATGTGACATAAGCGACAAGGTAACCAAGAATTAAAAACGACACTGTAAAAAATTAAATAACTCAACAATGTGCATGTGACATAAGCGACAAGGTAACCAAGAATTAAAAACGACACTGTAAAAAATTAAATAACTAAATAATGTACATGTGACATAAGCGACAAGGTAGCAAAGAATCAAAACGGACTAATAATGGCTGGAAACGGCTCAAAGTGGGTTCCTCGTCACCGAATTTGAATTAAAGAGGACGTTGTTAGGAGTTAAATAACTAAACAATGTACGTGTGATATAAGCGACAAGATAGCAAAGAATCAAAAACAACATTGTTAGGAAGTAAATAACTAAACAATATACAGGTGATATAAGCGACAATGGTGGACATAAGTAAATGTGACAATGTTTGAATCTACTGACGGCCATCTCTGTTTTTTTTTTTGTTGTTGTTTCTTAGGACCACCTCTTTATATTGGAATGGATCTTGCCATTGCCAGTTTTGACAGCATATCTGAGGTGAATATGGTAAGAAGTGGATCTTTTATAACTGTCGTGCGTTACAAAAAAACATAGTTTAACATAAATATTTTACATAACAAAAAATATTATGATACATATAAAATTAATATGTCGAATGTAAAGTAAGCAGTACTTGCTGTTCTGTACTTGTTTGGCCAGTATCAAGTATGGAGTAATACTTGGAATGATTCCTACAGGTCATGTACGAACTTGGAATGGCTCCTAAAGGTTACGTCTGAGCAATGAAGCAGTAGAGTTCTTTCCCTGAGATCATGTTCTACTGATTCTTAACAATGTAGCTGTGGAGTTCTTTCCCTGAGATCATGTTCTACTGATTCTTAACAATGTAGCTGTGGAGTTCTTTCCCTGAGATCATGTTCTACTGATTCTTAACAATGTAGCTGTAGAGTTCTTTCCCTGAGATCATGTTCTACTGATTCTTAACAATGTAGCTGTGGAGTTCTTTCTCTGAGATCATGTTCTACTGATTCTTAACAATGTAGCTGTAGAGTTCTTTCTCTGAGATCATGTTCTACTGATTCTTAACAATGTACCAGTAGAGTTCTTTCCCTGAGATCATGTTTTACTGATTCTTAACAATGTAGTTGCCCCATTCCTATTCCTTATATAGATTAATATCTCAGGTCCACGACTTTCAAAGTCACGAGATTCCAACAGGCACGCAGTTGACAGGGATTCCCTTGATTCCAGTGTTGCCTGTGCATTTAAAATCCTTGTTCATTATCGAAATTTGCCCGGATTCATCGGAAAGACTCGTTTTTTATAAACATTAGGATAGGTGTTCTTCTTAAAATTGAAGCCTACTTATTTCATTACGATTTTTCATATATTTTGAGGATTTTACAAAGTTTGTTTGTATTTCAGGATTATACCATCACCTTGTATCTCAACCAGTACTGGCAGGATAGTCGCCTATCTTTCAGCAATGATTCCTATGAACTAACCCTTTCAGGAGATTTTGCTGATAAGATTTGGGTGCCAGACACTTTTTTCGCAAATGACAAGAATTCTTTTCTTCATGAAGTTACAGAGAAAAACAAGATGATAAGGCTACAGTCTGACGGCCATATTAGTTATGGCATGAGGTGTGTATGGTAGAACAATATGATAAGGCTACAGTCTGACGGCCATATTAGTTATGGCATGAGGTGTGTATGGTAGAACAATATGATAAGGCTACAGTCTGACGGCCATATTAGTTATGGCATGAGGGG